CCTACTCGATAAATAATTATTCCCCCTTCATATGGATCGAATGTGGGCCTTCGATGTGCCACGGCAGAGCACCTAATCGCTTCAGCACAAGTGCTGATCGTTTGACCCTGATACTGCTCTCTGGAAAAGTGCACTAGTACATACATGTATCAGACAGACACTCGATATTCCTGAACACGCGCGTAATCAAAATTCACGTAGATTAATTGCATAGTTTCACTTCATTAAAAAAATAATATTCACACACGAGTGTCGTCCTGGCTGAACATACTCGGCTTTCCTACGAAAAGGAGCAACACATTTATAGAACACACAACACCATTCCTTTTAGTTTTGCTAGTACAATGGCTCTCCGTTAAAGTAAAGCTTGTTTTGATTACAAAGTTGCATTAATATGCTATGAGTGTTTAAACGATCTCGCGTGACATATTTTTAGTTTACTATAGGAGTATTCCATCTTGATATTTACCGTCCATTGACAAAAAAAGACAACTTAAGACGGCGCCTGGGATTTTTTTTTTTTATTGTAGGCAAGGCTTTTTTGACAGCTGCTCACTTAATTACGAGCAATGTGGAATTCCACCCAAATACATGTACATTTAAGAGAGGCACCTACGTTGACCTCACTTTTTTTTAAAACAGGTCTAAAAACACATTTATTTAAATGGTATCTTACCACTGATTGTCATTTTGTGTATGGTATAGGTTCTTCTGCTAGAACGTCCTTGTTGGTATATCACGGGTGCATGACCATGTATTTGAAAGGATTGTTGTACACTGCACTGGTCGGTATGCATAGAATGTGTCATTGTGTAAGCTGTTGAAATTTTATTTCATTGTGGAGTGCCAACAGCCATCAGATAATTAATGTGAGGCATCGTAGGGAAATCAAACAGTCGTCAAAATGTTGAAATTGAAGAAACCGGCGTTTTTCTGCCCGTCTGGCCAATTTTATGGAATTTTTTTTTTAATTTCAACGCATTTTAAGTCCTTTTCTGTGTGAATTTTTACTGAAAAACGTTGATCAAAGGCACAAAAATGTATCTTTGCAGTTTCCAAGGACACAAACTTTGGAAGTCACCTAACTTTGGCTGCTGTTTTCTCACTAATGTTGTACCTGCTACCAGGCGACCTCCCACCTCCTTCAATCGCAAATAGGCTAGCTCGACTAGTGTTTAAGATAGATTAGAAATTCTTTCATCGAAAGCAAGGCAAATTAATAGGCTATAAGATTATACCAACAATCCCATATATGCCCCAACATTGACAATCGCCTGATTCCACCGCGTCGTGACACATAATATCACCATCATGACTATTTACCTAGTGGCGGGGTATGTTTCATACTCCGCATTCTCCCCCATTGCATCAGCTAAATATTTCCTCCATTGTTGCTGTCTTTTGTCCAACTTTCTTTTGTGCTGAGTCTTGAACCGAGGGAACAGTATTTAAATGTCAAAAATAGGCTACAAAATGATATATCAGCAGGATTTTGTGGTTTTGTTTGGCAAGGCGTTCAATCCATAGTTTAGCGAATATATAGAGCGCAATAGCATAAAATTCATAAAATTAATCTGGGAACTGCAAAGCATTGTAACATGGATGACATTAATCTGAAGCGCCATACCCGGCATATTTATGAATTATATCGTATTTCCTACCCTGCCGATGTAATGAAAACATCGGTATAGATCACTCCGACCTGACTGTTATTACATTTAGCTTTGCAAGTACACGCAATACATTTATAATATCCCCTCCACCCCTGGATATAAAGGAATAAAGTTATCCCCCCTCCACCCTCTCTCTCTCTCTCTCTCTCTCTCTCTCT